TGACACAGAGTGAGGAAACTTATTGGGATGAATCCTGTGTAGGAGGTAGATAAAGAGAAGAAAGTGGTAAGAAGTTAAAATTAATGAACACCTCAAAGTAAGGGAGTTAGGTGGTAGAGACTACAGAGGTAGAAAACGTGAGAATCCTATTAGGAAGAAAGAATCTCCAAGGGGAAACTACTAGAAAATTCTTTCTTTATTACACCTGCAATTTTGACTGAATTTGATGTAGGACTAAATGCTTTAAATGAATGAAATAGAATTTGCATGAATTCTTGAAATAAGCAAGTAAGTTTGAAAATATTAGCAATCCAAAAGATAAAATAAAACAAGAGAGGAGTACCTACGTTTAGGCTAAGCCGCTTGCCAAAGACTTGAAAAATTAAAACAAGTTAGAAATTCAACAATCATGCTAAGTACATAGCTTTCAACAAAAAATCTCTAATCTAACAATAAGATTAGGAGCAAATAAAGTGCACTCAATCCTACATTTACTAAGTTTTGGCAACGGCGAAACAAAATCCTACGTTTACTAAGCTTAGGCAAAGGTGAAACTCGGCTCCTTGTGAATCTCCATCACCTATAAGATTAGGAGAATTAGAAAAGTAAATAAAAAGGGGAAGAAGTTCACCCTTATCAAACCCGGAAACAAGTAGGCAAGGGGTTGACGAAGTTCGTCGTAGCTCCTCTTGAAGGTTCAATTGGAACGGAAGAAGTCTCTTCCAAGCATCGAACTGTTGAATGTAGAGATCATGTGCTTGCCTTGAAGAATCCTTTGAGAAAAAGAAGTTTCCCTCAAGAATTGGAGTAGTAGAAGGCAAGAGGGTGGTGGTCGGCCAAGGGGAAAAGAACAAGGTGTAAGAGTTTTGACTTCAGATTTTGAATGAGTAGGTGGAGGGAAAAATAACTTGGAAATGAATCCTCAATCAATATCTTGTGATTGAAATTAATCGAGGAAGAGAAAGGGGAAGGAGGGGCGGCGAGATTGAGAAGGAAAGGAGCTTTATTTCTTACCACAAAGAGGAGTTTACTTAGGGAAAGAAATCAAGTAGGAGGAGGCTTGGAAATTTCGGCCAAGTGTGGGGGTGGGAATTTGGAAATATTCTAAAGAGGAGAATTGGGTTTTAGGAAAGGATTCCAAAACCAAATCCTAAGGGGGCCAGAGGCATTAAAGGTCTAGGAGGGAATAAAGGGGAGGGATTAAAGGTTTCCTAATTTTGGTTTAGGAATTAGGAAAGGCCTTAATTAATTCCTAATGAATTTGAAATTCAAATGGGTTTATATTTAGAAACTTTCCTAAAATAAGCTCCCTTAAATAAGGAAAGAAAATTTTGAATTCAATTTGTTTGAATTTTGAAATTGGATCTTCCCAAATCAAGTATTTATTTATGGAAAGTATTCAAACAAAGATTTAAATTTTGGAGGGAGTGGAAGGAAGTTGAGGCCGGCGGTTAGGTGGGTGAGCCGTGGGTGGGGTGAGGGGAGAAAGGGTCGGGTGAAAGTGGAAGGGGGGTTAGGTTTAACCAATGGAGAGGGGGAGTTGTATGGTGGCCGACGACTTAAGCCAATGGAGAGGAGCTCTAGGCCGGCGGCCAGTTGAGGGAGGAAAGAGGGGAGAAGAAGATAGAGAAGGTAGAACCACGAACCCGGCCGTCTCCAAGGTTGGTGGGTGATCTGATTTTCCCTCTCCTAGGGATTTCTCCAAAGCTCTCTCCGAGAACTCACAAATACTCTCAAAACACACAAGTGCAAGAAGTTTTCATAATATTCATTCATTGATTTTCAAAGAGAACATAGGGGCTATAAATAGCCTTGTACATAAGACTCAAAATAAAAAAGACCACAATGCCCTTAAAGCTTAGATACGACCTTCTTTTAAGTAAAGGGTAAAAACGAAAAAACAATTACAACATAAATAATAATAAAAGACAAATAACCTAATAAAACAAATACATGAAATAACTCAAAATACATTGATGCGATCATGGCCGTAGATCGATGGCCACACCTTTGATTCATGCTCTGATGTCCCCATCAAAAGTATAAGATATTATCTTATTTATAGAAATAAAGTTACAAATATGAGATCAAATAATTTGAAATCAAATCCTAATTTTAAATTAAAAATAATAATAATAAATTCATAATCTTTATGAAATAAAATCTAAATAAATCATATAACCACATATTTATTGGACTACAAAAGTTCCCGTGGGCTCCAAAAAAAATTATTCCAAAGAGTTTAAATGCTACTCTATGTTGCACCGATACACCTATTTATGAAGGCGTGCTGTATCTGATACACGGATACGCCTCCGATACTCCACTGATACGTGTCAGATACGTCAAAGATGTATCCAATTAAAATACTATTTAATTTCAAAAGGACACACGTATCCGATACACGTGTCCGTTGAAAAACAAACGTCGTATTTACTTCCGCGACTGCGAGCAAAGCTCTCTCATTTTTGAGTGGGTTTGAGTCTCTTGATGATATGAGAATATTAGAAATTACTAATCTTTCACTTGATGAGCCTGAATTAAAAGCTATGATATTTATTGAAGATGATATAGAAGTTCAGAGACAACCACTGAAGAAGCTAATCATATCATTCCTTCTATTGAATAGTTGAAACTTTATGTGCTAGACAATTTATGTTTATGCTTTTGTTGTTGTACTAGACATTTAATGCTTACTTATATTTTGATATTATAAGCTATAAGGCTACAAATGATGTTGTTGTCTTTTTTTTTTTTTTGTAATTTCAATTATTATGCTTTGATTGTTTTCTTAATTTTTATGTATGATTTATAAATTATGATGCCATGTCCGCGTCGTACCTGTATCCTGTATTTTTAAGAATTGACGTGTCCCGTATCTGTATCGTGTCGTATCCATGTCACCGTATCCGTGTCGGTGCAACATAGAATTGCTACTAGAGAAAGAATTGGATATCTTCATGCTATAGTGCTAGTGAAATCCATTTTAAATGAAATGAAAGGTCTGCTCCGAATGAAGATGTGATGACTGAGAAATACATCTTGAAGAAGGGATGAATGTAAATTACATCATCATCTACAATTTTAACCGATGGCTATCTTTATCCATCCTCAAGAACAATACTAATATTATGTCTGGAATAAGATTTACTCAACCTTATTGAATTATTGAATGACCAAAGTTGATTACTTGATTGTATATTCCTTTTTTTTATTTTCCTGTTTGGGTTTATGGATATGATACATTAAGTAATTTGTCATGTGAGGTCACTAGTTTTGGCTCTCTTATCAAACGGCTCTATTTTAATTTAAGAGTGAGAATGTGAGAGAACATGTGATTGGATGTTTAAGATCAATTTCTAAGTTCGATACCTACTTTTGGAAAAGTTATGTTGTCAACA